AGTTCAGTTTTTTCTGAAGTGGAAACTCTTCAGCGACACACTACCATGTATCACTTCCACCGCCCAGCACCCCTGTGTAGGGTCTCTGGGACGGTACAGCTACAGCCTCACCTTTCTTCCCCTAACACTCGGGTGGGTTGAACCACCACCCTTCCTTGTTGTCAAGCAGCGGAACGCCTCGCCCGCAGTGCCACCAGGGCTCCTTCCAGAATCTCTCTCTAAGCATTACACTGTCTTAGTCTCAATCCACTCCTCGAACAGTACAAGCAAACAAACCCGCCCACAAACAGGTTAGCCACCGACCCTGTCTGGAGGCCCGAGTAGAACCACCTCCACAGAGGGCAGGCTGCACTCAGCCACCGCTCTTTACACAACAGGGTCAGAAGCCCTAGCTCGACAGACCTTTCTAGGCCAGGCTGTCCGGGCTGCAGGGAGAGCGCTTAGTCACAGGGTAGGGACTTCACAAAGGAAACTGTAGCCCAACTGGTCAAACCAGACTGTCGCTCTACTTTGAAGTAAAAAACAAGCAGGTCCCTCCACCTCGATCTGCATAAATATTTCATTATGCCCAGCCCCATATTTAATACCAGAGTAAAGCTAAATAAAGGGTTTTCTGAACACCGGGAAAGCTTGTACCCGCCATTGAAGACTCAACACAGGATTAGATCAATCCCTAGAATAGTGTGAATGACAAAACCCCCAACAAACACTATAGCACCCAAGTTCACAATTTACCCAACCACCAGTAAGTGTTTTTTCTTGGAGAGTTTCCAAAGCGTATTTCCCCCCTCTGCCTGTGCCTCGAGTTGGGATAAGGCCCAGACAGATTGTTTTAATATAACTCATCTCGTGAGCTAGTGTTCTCATTTATTTTGATCAACTAATTATACTTACAGACAAAATCCTGAGTGCTTATTACTTGTACACACTTTAGGGTTATGCCTATTCAGACTACTTAGGAATACATTTAACAACATTGTATCAGGATTGCTTCCAAAGTAAAATGTTTTGAGAAAACGTGAAGCTAGATCATACTAAATTCACCTCAAGTTCAGCCTTCACTGTTATAAACGAACACTGTTATAAACGAACTTGTTCAATGATCCTTGCTTTCTTAAGCCTCACTGAGCACTGACTGACATGGCAGAATAAAGACCAATTCTGTACTGTATCCCTTAAACCCGGTGCCATTCAAAGACCACATATAGCTTGGCCCCCAGTAGGGCCACTGCCTTTTTTAGCAACTGCATGTAATCCCTTCAGCTGCTAAAATCAGACAGGTGGGGAGGGTGGACCTTAACACATCAGCTACAAACAAACTCTACATATATTCTGACTTCAAAAGGGGACAAAAACTGCCCTTAAATGAGAAGTGGAATTACTTAAAAAAGGGATCGTTAAAATAATAAAAGGCGGGGGGGATGGAAGCTAGAGTGTGAAGATCTTCAAAGCTCACTCGGCAAACAGATCATCAATCACATTTCTTTCCCCACCACCACGTTTTTGGCACAGACATTTTCACCAGAACCAAACACCATACCAGACGCCACGCAATGTCAAAGTTGAGAAGCAGTCAAAGGCAGGCCGGCCTGAGTTCCAGACAGGCTGTCGCCAGTTGCAGGGACTATCCCCGAGCCTGAGCGACAGCTCACCACCAACCCCAAGAACAAATTAAATGACTTGGGAGGTCAGAAGACACATTTCATGCCTCATCTCATCCAGACCATGTGATGGTGGTACCTTGCCAAGCTCTGCTATCCAAAACCTTGATGCAACTTGCTGGCCGCAACTTCACAGCAGCTCAGGTCTGCTGGGCCTGTTTGTCATCCAGGTCCAACTGGTAAGAGTCACCAAGCCCCCCACCAGAGCCCCCTTTGAGATAGTTGGCCTCAAGCACAAAGCAGGCTTGGGGAACCCTTGGTAGCCTCAAACCTTAAAGATACTATTTTTATCCCATTCCTCCAGGCTAGGAGTTCATTTATGGTCTCTGCCCACCTTCCTGGTCAAGAGGGGTCAACGTCCTGACAAGCCCAAGTTAAAACGCCTGCCTCCTTCGTCACGTTACCCACCCCAGAGCCTTTGGGTCCACCTTACAGTGAGGGGCAGGGGCACCTACCTGTCTCAGCCTGGGGCTGTGGCAACTCCTGCTCGGTGGCAGGGACGGTTTCTGTGGCTTCACCGGGCATTTCTGAAGGAAGGGGACAAAAAGGAGGCCTGAGTGGCCTGGGATCCGCGCTCCTGGCCCAAGCTAGAGCCAAGTATGGGCAAAAATTCTCAAGGGGGGGGCTGCGACGGTGAAGGGAGACACCAGCACGGTGCTGGGAGACAATCCATCCCAAACCGGGGGAACGCGGGGAGAAACCGGCCAGGCCCCCCGATCAAACCACCACCGTGGGGTCGCTCGGCGCGGTCCTCCCGCAAAACCGCGGTCCAGCCCGAGGGCCCCAAGCCACGGCTGGGCCCCTACACGGGAGCCGCGTGCCGCGACTCGAGCCCTAACCCTCCTTCCTGCCGTTCGCTGCCGGCCTGGGACCCCGCCAGCGCTCCCATTTAGCGACGTGGGTGTGTGTGGCTGAAATGGAGCCTCACCGCTCGTTTGTTACAGCAAGAACTCGGGGACCGGGGTGGTGGTGGTGGGGTTCCCAGGCTGTGTCCCCTTAACCTTCGGTTTTCTTGTGAAGCCGCTCCCAACAGAAGCACGCCCTTCGGCCGCCGGCATCGCACGGGCGCCCACCTCCCTAATCCCGGACTCCGGGCTCTGCCCGGCCCGTCAGCCTGGCTGTGGCCAGGGCACCAACCCCAGACCCCATTTTGTCCCGGGGCGTCAAGGCCGCCCTTCCCGAGGCCACGGAGGGATCCTGCGGCCCCACCAGGCGCCCAGCTTCCCGCC